CTCCATTAATCCGATGACCCAAATAAACCACCTCCATTACTCCAAACACACTTTTCTCTCTACTAGCACGCAATCCCTTCTCCTTGATTCTCCAAAATACCTCCTCCAGCCTCCTATTATGCTCCTCCTGCGTAATACCTGTTATCAAGACATCGTCCATATAGTAAAACACTCCCTCCAAACCCTGAAAAACGGCCGCCATTGTCCTCTGAAATATGGGTGCCGAAACACTCAACCCAAACGGCAATCTCTTAAACGCAAATAGTCCCTTGGGCGTAGTTATGGTCAGCAACTTCTGCATCTCCTTCCTTACCTTCAACTGCAAATACGCATTAGAAAAATCCACCTTCGAAAAATATAAACTCCCCTTCAAATTCGCCAATATCTCCTCTATCCTCGGTAACGGATATTTTACTTCAACTACCCACGGATTCAATGTTACTCGGAAATCTGCACATAATCTCAACTTCCCATTAGCCTTTTTCACCGGTACTAAAGGTGTCGCCCACTCGCTATATTCGACCGGACATACAATATCTTCCTTTACCCATCTATCCAACTCTTGCTCTACCTCCCGCCTCCATTCAAAAGGTACACGACGTACAGCACAATACTTCGGCACACTTCCCTCCTTCATCCGAATCTCCACCTCATAACCCTTCAAACAACCCAACTCTTCCTCAAATATTTCTCCATACCTCTCCACTAACTTCTCCACCTCCTTTTGGACCTCCTTTATTCCCTCTCCACACCCCCACAAATTTTTCGCAACTCCTTGTTCTACAAAATTCTCTCCCTTCTTCTCACTAACCAGCGGCCTCAATACTCCATATCTACTGTCTTGGACATTTCCTATTTCTCCATCTACATACATCGGACCTCTCCCCAACATATATTCTCTCGCATTCTCTTCGCTTTCCCCCCAAAACATGGATCTTCCATCGTCTACTTCAATATTATCTAGGCCCTCCATCCATTCCAAATTTCCTCTCGACATTCTCTTCTCTTCATTCACTCGGACCATATTTATCAAGTCTTCCCGAATATCTTCTTCGATCGCCACAAATACTCCCCATCGTGCAAATACTCCCCAGAATCCATACCTCGGCCCTACATTTGTAATCCAATCCCATCCCATCACCGGCTCAACGTCTCGGTTAATTATCCATAAGTCCAACATTTTACATCCTTCTCTTCCTACCTCCCCAATATTCACTCTTCCCATCATCTCCATCTCCGATCCATCAAACTGCCTTACTTGCATAACGTCTCTAATTATATTACTACCCGGCCAAAGTCTTCTAAAATCCTCATATCCCATCACCGAAATAGCTGCTCCGGTATCAAATAACATAGATACCATCTTCCCGTTGATATCGAACCATACCCTTGGACTCGGCAGATACATTAACTCCCTTTGAACCTCCGGCTGCAACATTTTAACTCTCAACTCTTTCTTGCCCCCTCCTAACGTAACGGTCATTATTTTACTCTCCTTCCCATCATATAGTCAATCTTTATTACAATCTCTGGCCCAATGTCCCCTTTCTCGGCACTTGAAACACGTCATCTCCTCTCCAATATCCTTTCCTTCTTTTCCAGCTATCTCCGTCATACTCCTCATATTCACGACCCCCGACGACTCTCCTCTCTGTGGAAAACCTGCCCTTGTTTCCACCTTTCCCACTCGGCAATCCTTTAACACATGTCCAAATCTTCCACAACCCGTGCAACGTATTCTCTCTGCTCTGCCCGGACAATATGTCGAAATATGTCCCATCTCCCCACACGCAAAACATTTGACATCTCTACAATTCACCGCAATATGACCCATCTCCCCACATTTATAACATCTACCATTCCGACCTCTCTGTCCCCCACTGTTGAACGGCCTTGGCATATCTTGACGTCCACGGTATACATCCAAATGTCTGTCATCTATCCTCTCGTTCTTTAACCGGTCAATTTCTTCATTATTGACCCAACCCTTCATTATTTCTTGAACCGGTAACCACGTCACTCTCCCCAACCTATCATCCTCTCCATTATGCCCCTCTACCAACAACGATTGCCCACGAATCCTAATACTCCTTTCTCTTCGCATTCTCCTTCCAAAATATAAACTACACAACCATATCATCAATACTACCACCGCTCCCAATACATTATATTGCAACTCCACATATTTTGTAATTTTAAAACCCTTCATTAAAATATTTACGTATTTCAATTTTTCCTAATTTATTTCTCTAACAACACTAAATTTTATAAAATATTCACAAAAATTAATAATTAATTTCACCAAAAATATCTTAACTACTTGTAATGTCAGACAATAAGATAAAATCAATAAGGTAAAAACTCCAATAATACACATATACATTTAACAATTTCAAAAAAAAAATCAATACCTTCCGCTAATCTTTAATCTCTTCCGTGTATTGACGTCTTTTGAAAAAAAAAAAAAAATCGGCAGCACTTTCGTGTAACTTGCTTTCTAATAAACTTTTTTGGAATTTCTTCTAATAGATTTATATAGACAAAAATTTGGGCAGCACTTCCGTGTCCTCTACCTTTTTAGTAAATTTTCGATTTTCGTCTAATAGATTTATATAACCAAAAATTTGGGCAGCACTTCCGTGTACTCTACTTTTTCAGTAAATTTTCGATTTTCGTCTAATAGATTTATATAGGCAAAAATTTGGGCAGCACTTCCGTGTACTTTACGTCTTTTGAAAATTTTCACTCGACGGTCACCTCTTTTGACGGTACTTGTTCTTGACGGTCTTTCAACCCAAACGGTCCCTTATTACACACGGTACTTGTCCTTGACGGTTCTTGTTCTTGACGGTACTTGCTCTTGACGGTACTTGCTCTTGACGGTACTTGCTCTTGACGGTACTTGCTCTTGACGGTACTTGCTCTTGACGGTACTTGCTCTTGACGGTTCTTCAAATTGGCGATCTTATCCACCACAACGCTCCACAAAAATGTTTTCCCAAAAATAATTTATAAAAATAATTGTTTTTACTTTAATTTTTTGGTCACGGCACCAACTATTACGTTGTGCCGTATAAGTCCGAATAGAAAGCAAAACTCCGAGTATAATAATTTTATTGAATTTCCCACACAAAAAAAATGAATAATTTTATTTCAAAATTTATATATACTATTACAACCAAAAAAAAATATATTAAAAACAAAAATAAAATAGTTAATAATCATTTTTACAATATTTCGCTTCCCTTTTATAGGGAAGCGCATAAAATACAATTTCATCATGATTCAACAAAACTTAATTTCTATATCTAAAAATAAAATAAAACAAAATATTAAATTTCAAAATTTATATATACTATTACAACCAAAAAAAAATATATTAAAAACAAAAATAAAATAGTTAATAATCATTTTTACAATATTTCGCTTCCCTTTTATAGGGAAGCGCATAAAATACAATTTCATCATGATTCAACAAAACTTAATTTCTATATCTAAAAATAAAATAAAACAAAATATTAAAATACGGTCTAATAATGAACCGGCACAATTTATTTATTAATGTTCACGCAATAAATATTATCAAATATGTCACTCATTTATGACATTTCCTACAACTGATCAGCCTGTTATAGTTTTATCAGCAGAATCAACAATATATAAATAATTAAAATTTTTTGACTTAATCATTCCTTTCCTACAGTCTGGCATACTTTAGTTTTGTATCAAACCCGTTGCGAATATTTAAAATCTCCTATTTTATTTAGGTCATTATTTATTTTGTAAAATTTGTGACTTTCTATTTCATAACGGGCGTCCAACATTGCCCAATTTTAACTGGCTTTTGTGCCTGCCTAACATCATCTCAAGACTCAAGATAACTTCAAAAACACGATATGTTCTAAAACATCTTTTAAAGCATTTTCAGAATCTGTTTCACAATGCGAAGCTCTATAACTTTCCTTGAATGTGCAAATCTTACTTTCAACTTGGCCATTTGTCTTAGGATTATAGGGTGTTGACTTTATATTAATAATATTTTTTGATTGTCGAACTGAAATTATCTTGATATGAATTATTTAGTTACCTCAAATCTTGCAAACTATTTCTTCATACCTTCTAATAATTGTTTCACTAGTCATAATCTTTAACCGAGTTACTTCTATTCATTTTGAATAAATATTCACTAAAACTATACAAAAAAGAATTCCTGCCAAATCTATACGCAAACTTTCCCACGGCCTGATACATTACATGTGAACAAAAATACTTTGGCTTATTTATGTCTATGAGCTTGAAAATCAGCACTACCACTGACATACAGCTCTATTTCATGGTTACAACCTGGGATGACAAAGTATAATAAAGGAAAGTAATCTTATTCCCTTCTTTGTCTGCCTGAACCCTCTGTATTGTGCCTGAAGATTCCTTTTAAAATTTTATAAATTCATGCAAAACATAAATTGATCCCTCAATCTCGTGTCAATATCAATATTTAGTGAATTTAATTGAGACTCTCCTTCCGTCATTTTAAGTCGATTAAAGTTCATTAGGGTAGAAATAACATTTGTGAAGTTTATAGAGTTTCCCGTATATTCAATTAATTTCCATAAAAGTGAAAACGTCAGGTTTCCATGGAAGGTTTTTCGATAATTTCTATATTATAATTACCAAAATAAAATAATAACAAAACTTTTAATTTTGTTTTTAACTGAAATCAACTTTTGCAACATTTATAATAACGAATAATATCAAAACTTATTTCATATTTTCTAATTTTAATTATTCTCAACTTTTCCTATGATCTCCGATATCACCATTATTATTCCTAACGTTCTTAGATAAATTCAAATACTATTTATTTATAATATAATATACCTTATAAATATTGAATATAGAATGCATAATAATATAATAATTCTATACATATAAATTATATACACTATGATATAGTCTAAACATCTTGCTAAAATATTTGAAAGTCGTCAGGAGCGATTTATCCTAATGTATTCATTCACGCAATGAAACATATGTTTTTCAAAAAGGTAAATCTATGAGCATGTCAGAATTTATTTAGTTTTCCTTATCTATATATTCTTCTACAACATAAGTTATAACACATTAAATAAGCTAACCTATTCAAACTCTTCCATAATCAATCCATTTATTTAATCAAGTATCTGCTTTTTTTTCTCTCACTTCCATAAATATTTAAATATTAAGTTTATCTTGTTATGCATATTCAGGTAACTGTGGCCTACATAAATAATATAGATTATCCTTCTTATAGTTGTTTTCCTTGTTTTTTTTGGGCTTGATATATATTATTTTCAAGTATTTGTAAGAAATCTTCTCATTTTTTTAGCTTCTCATTCTCACCTAGACCTCACTCCGGATATAGCTTTTATAAGAAAGAAATTTCAGAAATAAAAAATTTTGTAATTTTTTTAAATTGAATGCTAAAAGAATTAAGCAATCTAAGATTTTAAGATATAAAACTAAAAAATTGATAGATAATACTTAAATACAAGCAACTTGTTTAAATATTTTAAAAAATTTCTGCTTCATTTTACCATAAAAAATAATATATTTTAAATAAAATAAGAATTAAAAAATTCTTAAAAGTTGATAACAGAAAGAATACTGAATTCTCAGATTTATTTCCTAATGCTCATAAACTGAAATAGTAATGATAGATTCATGTATTAATTTTTGTATAATATAACTGATAAATGTTCATATTTAAATAGCTCAAAATAGTATAAATGCTAAGGCTAAGATATACCTTTTCTTTTTATAAAACATTAAATTATAGAATAGACAGAACTAAAGATAATGAAAATTCACAAGATAATTGGCACCCCCCCCCCCCCCCTTTCCAGCAATTAATCAATAAGATCTGTTAAATTGACCACTATTATATTCTGATTTTTGTCATTTTCATAAAATTTTGTGATTATGTTTTTAGCTCCAAATCCTTTAATTTTACAAACTAATAAGTCAATATAATTTTTTAAAAATATTTAATATGACAGTAAATAAAAAACGAGAATCAATATTAAACAATTTTTTTAATTCGAAAAAAAAATAATATTACTAATTATAAAGCAAAATTAAAAATTTTTTTTTTAAAAAATATATTTAAAAATGATGGTTGTTTAAATAATTACTCCCCCCCCCCCACCCCCCTTTTATTTTAGTTTAATTCAAAATTAAATATTTTTGTTTATCTCCTTTTTTTTTTATTTGTAAACAGATATATGGGGTTGTTAAAAAGCCCGAGTCGTTGGTCGATTTTTAAAAAAGAGCCCAAGTTAAGATTTTAGCCAAAATAATATTATGTAATCCTTGAGATTCGGCAAATAGAGGTCCAAACCTTTCTACCATCTCGTCGGTCTAGAATTGGAGTGCTCCACTCGGCATTTTCAAATTTTTTTAATTAGACTAAAATCATTCTTTTTTTAAAAAAATTAAAATATAAACTTTGTATTCACCTTGGAATACAACTTTTTTTAAAAAAAATTAAGTATTCTAACAATGTTTATGCACAATAATTCTAATTTTATATCATTTTCTATTCAATTTTAAACCAATTCCAAATATATAAAAAGCAATTCTTTTTATTTATTTTTTTATATGAATTTGTTACACATTTCCTAGATTTTCCCATCAGGCAAGATTAAAGGGAATTTAAGAAAGACAAACATATATAAATTCCTATATAACCCTCGCTATAAAAGAGTCGTCTGCTCCGTTTTTTATATATTAGGCCTGCTTTGGATCCTAATCATTTGCGTAAATACGCCAGAACACAATGGCGCGAATCCCTGGAACCTAAATAAGCATACCTACATATCGGAAAATGCATTGTTACCAGGACTCGTGGACGAAACATATACGATTACCCATTCCAACTCTCACTCCGCTGAGAGCATATATCAAAGGTTGCTAACGAAACTGAATGAATCAAATCTCATTTATCATAAAAACGGGCGTGACCAACACACAAAAAGTGAACAAAATGGCGATACTACGGGAGAGTCAATGCGACACCTTCGGGATGAATGTCTGACGAAGGAAATGGAGTCAATTTTAGACAGTTACGGTTTAGAGGTTTACAGGCAATCTTTCACTCTACCTCCTGCTTTCTCTCATAAAAACGACACGAAACCCTCGCACTCGTCCGGTATCAACCTTTATGCGATTCAACGAGCTACAGGGGTTACGGGTTACGATGCCATTCTGCTCTCCGCTTCCTTTGATCCGGAGTACCCCTCGGATATAAATTTTGGTTCTCATAAAAAGGCTCCCAAATCTTTGATAACATCCGCCATATTGCTCTCATTGGCCAGGCACTTCTCCACCAGTGCGAACCAATGGGTGGCCAAAGATATTATATTCTTATTTACCTCCCACAAAACGGTGGGACCTCAAGTTTGGACCCGATCTTATTACACGGAAAGCGACGATAACGAAATCCTTCAATCAAGGCCGGTTTACAGAAGCTATTCGAGCTACAGTACATTAGACGGGGAAGGCCGGTCCGGGTATATACAGGCTGCGATGTGCTTGCAACTCGATTATGACGATGGCGATTATAACCAAAGTATGGATTCAAAATCGTTCCAAAAATCGAACGATAATAATAATAATAAAATGTTCAAGTTCGAGGACACGATCATCAAATTCGAAGGTATAAATGGAAGGTTGCCCAATTTGGACCTGGTGAACGTGGCCCAGCGGTTAGCCTCCAAGAACGATATTCAAACGCGGTTTAGACGTGTCCATGTCGACGTTAATATATTATTTTCTCCACGGCTTATATATTTTAATATATTATTTATCGCAGTGATATCGATCAAATCTATCGGCGTTTTTTTTTAAACTTCATTTCTGTTAGGGCTGTTTGACCCATATTGAATATAAGCTCGGGCTCGATATTTAGCATACTATTAAAAAAAAAGTATCGGATCGGGCCGATATTTTTTTTTGTATCGTTTATTTTTTAAAATATTTGAAAAATGAATCGGAATTGTTATGCGATAACATTTGTTGTTTATAATTATCTGCGAACGAGAAAAGGATTTCAAAAAATATTCGGAGGATCGCGATACTACCATGAACGTTGTTCGTATTTTAAAAATTTATAAAGTGTACACTTAATCATTCGCGATAAATGCGCTAAATATCGCCTTGGTCAAGAATATTAAAATTTTCAAAGTGTTTTTTTTTGTTTTGGCTTATAGTTTATTTTTATGACGGTTCAGATAAAATAAATCTAAATACCGGATCGGTTACCGGGTATCTAATCGGTTTTGTATGAATACCAAATCGGATCGGGCAAATATTTGTTGATCGGCATAGCCCTAGAAATCAATATATTTTTTTTATATATCTCCAGATATCTACGAAAGTTTGCCAATTTACCGCTTCTATCGGCCTTGACAAATACATCGGAGTTTCATTTTCCTTGTGCAAGCCATTGTTTAATATGCTCAACACTATGATGAATCTAGCCTTTCCCGAGCTCTTGAAAGTCAAAGGTAGAATATATATAATATATTTTTTTAAATATTGGATATGTTCAAAAAGAATGTAAATCTTTCTAAGTTAGCTAAATGGGGATGATGATTAGAGACACCTGACTGCTCAATTTTTTTTCTTAGGTCTGATATGTGCAAAGACATCCTTACTTACTCACGATGACGAAAATATTAAATGATTCATTATAAATGGATTGTAACTAACTATGTATGTTGAGTAAGAGGTTTTCATTACGAAAAGTTGACAGCTGTCTTTTCATTCGCCGTTTTCACGAAAGGGTCTATCGGTGACTGAGTTATTTCATAGCAAAAGGGGCATCTTGCTTGTGAACTGCTGGCAAGTTCCGGTAAATAACTCGTGTAAATATCCTGATACCTTCGATGAGAGCATCACAGATAACCATCATGTATTAAACGAATTATTCGTTATTCGGTTAGTATTTTACGAATACGAATAACCAAATTATTCGAAAACGAATAATGAAAAGATATTATTTGTCGAATAATTTTTTTTGAATATTCGTCCAACCATTATTCGAATCGAAAATACGAATAATGCAAATATTTGATTCGTATTTTTGTAGGCATATTTGGGGGATAATTCATCGGAGAGTTTTCAGCTCATTGCCTTGGGAGTTGCTTTAAATATTCTACCGCATACGATACAGCTTGTACATCTTTTTACCTGGAGCAGCTGGTAAGATTATCGGGTTGAGGAGTCGCCCTGCTTGCTTCCCATTCTCAAAAACCATTATCTTCACCGTCACTGATGGGTAGTGGACGTGTGGTTTCTGGAGCTCGAACGGCGACGCTCATTGGGACGATAAGGTGCCTTGTTATTGCGTTGATGACCAGTAGTGGGCTATCTAGGTCTGGCTGAATAAGATAGGGTGTCTCGTGCCCAACATCCTATGGCCCAGTGGTTTCCTAATTATCTGGAGTAGGAGGATATTGAGAGTGATCCCTTATAGCACCCTTAGCTTTATGGAGGGTAGGAGGTTTGATTATTGTGGGAAACAGGAAATGGTTTAGCTTAGTGTTAGAGAGCTCTTGTCACTTATCCCTTTATTTTTTTTAACCATTTACTAGACTTTGTTAACTTTACCATCCATTCTTTTAATATAATATTTAAAAATCGGAATAAGTGAGCCAGTAAATTTCAATCCTTATATTAAGAAAACTCAATGACATTAAAATAACCTAGACCGAAGATCCATTTATTAAAATGCATTACCGAAACGTATAAACCATTAAGTCTGCAGTGGGAAGATATTTAGACCAAATTATAAATGGCCAGACGAAATATTTTTCAATGGCGTCAACTAGAACCACTGACAATCTACAGCTGATTTATGTACACTTTTAATAAATGAATCGTCAGCCTAGGTTAGTATTAATCAGGGTTTCGAACCGTTTAGTATAACGGTTCGGTTCGTTCCGGTTTTTAGTTTAAAATTTTATAAAGGTTTTGTTCCATTTCGGTTTTTAAAAAAAAAATCATATCGGTTCGGTTCGGTTTATAATTTATAACGGTTCTTTTCGGTTTGTTCCGGTTTTTATAAATTTAATTTAAAAAAAAATTAATCATTAACCATGTATATATTAATTTTAGAGAAAAATCTTTTTATAATTTCTTATTTAATTTAACCATGAATGATAATCTAATAGATATTTTTATTAAACTTAGTAAATATAAATTAGACAAATCAATTCTTTTTATTTCATAAATAAGATAAACACAAACATGCGCAAATACAATGAGGAATAAAATAACACATAAATATAATGAAATTTATATTATTTATTTTTAAAAAGAGAATTGGAACGGATAACTAAAATATTTTCAATATTTCAGGATTTAATTTAGTTCTTTGCGCAGAGAGTATAAACTTAAGGCTAGAAAATGCTCTTTCTACGGATACCTGCGTAGCTGGAACTGCTAGCACAACCATAGCTAACTTATAAAGTTCTGGCATACTATTCTTTACATTTCCCCAATAATTCAAAAGATTTGCATCTTTTTCTAATCTCTCTATATAATCAAATGACCGAATTATATACTCTATTTCTACACATTTATTATAATTTTCTATGCCCTGAGAACTATTCTTATTAAGGCTTTCATGAGACATTAATAAATCTTCAAAATCATCATCTAAGTTATCTTTCGAATGTGAACACGTAGGAATAGTATCTACAATATTCTGATTATTTAAATTTTGGATTAAGTTCCAAGTTTTATAAAGATGTTTTTTGGCGATATCTTTTTCTTCAAATGATAAAAATACATTATATCTTGGGTCGAGATATATAGCTGAGCAAAAAACTTCATTTTTCAAATTAATCTCTCGTGCTTTGATTGTACAAACTAAAAGTTTGGCAAATGAAGTGTCTATTTTGCTAGTTTGCATGATACATTTGATCCATGCTGCATAAAAATCGCCCATGGTCTTTTGTTCACTTATATATTTTGTCAAAATATAAGATGGATATAAAGCTTTTAATATATCACTAATTATTTTCCATTCATTCTCTGACAAACATTTTTCACGATCATTACTTTGGGCCGATATTTCTTGGCAAAAGTTTTTTAACTCTAATAATCTTTCCAACATTAAATAGATTGAATTCCATCTTGTGCAACAATCTATTAGTGGCTTTTTTAAATTTAATTTGGACAAAATAGACATTGTAGTCTGATTTCTTATTTTTTTGCAAATGTTTCTTGCTTTATTAATAATAACAATTTCATTTGAATTTTTTATGCAATCATTAATTGCTAATTGAAATGTGTGGGAGGCACATCTAATGCCCATTAACATGGATCTCGTATGAGGTACAAGATTAATATTTTCAATATTAAAAAAAGGTTCTTCATTTTCATTAACAATTATATCATCATTGTTATTTAAATTATCATTATCTAAATAATTAAGGATATCATCTTCATCATCATGATGTATTAACAGCTTAATTAATTTAATCATGTTAGCTGCATTGTCTGTGGTTATCGTATAAATTTGATCAATTCTTATTTCATGTTCGTTTAGAACATCTAGAATAATTTTTTTTAGATATTCTGATGTATGTCTTTCTTTTATCTCTTTTATGCATAACGTTCTTAATTTTATTTCTCCATTATCTATAAATTGAATATTGATCCCCAGTATGGACCTATCATATCGAGTTGCAATATCTAATTTTAACGATATAAGTTTTTGGTATATTTCTTTTTTTAAATTTTGCGAAAAATCAAATGCCATTTTTTTAATATTATTGCGTATATTTTCAGAATTGATGGTTAAATTACCACCCAATCCTACAATTATCGGATCTATAATATTTCTAAATGCTTTGTCATCAATTGATTTTATTGGTCTCCCATGAACTGTGATTAACTCAGTGGAGGAGCGGATTAAAGTGTCTTTATTAATATTAATTTATATTGTATTAGTTTTGGTAAAAGCATTTTGAATTGTATTATGATTATTTGCATTTTTTGTTATTGTTTTTTTAATAGTCAAATTATCTTCTTTTTTTTAAATAATTTGAATTCCTTATCGTGGAATCTTTCTATATGTCGTTCAAGATTTGCTGCATGGTCCCCGGTTAAAACTTTACCACAGTTTTCTAGTTTACAAGTAGATTGATTTTTTACAATATCTAATTTAAAATATGATCGCACAGGATTTGACTTTTCCCGAACCATTTAATAGATACTAATATGCTATATGATGATGAATAGATCAGAATCTTTTATTATAAAAATAGAATAAATAAATTTCTTAATAGAATCAGTGTAATTTTTTATTTATCTTATCTGACAAGATCTCCCCCAAAAATGTGAATTATATGCAGGCCTACCCTTCATATAATTATGCCGATTTTTTCCTCAAAAATACTAACAAAACAAACTTGTACACAGATGAAACTAAATAAGTGAATGGAGCTTACTAATACCATTTTAATAAATAATTTGATTTAATAGAGAAAAGAAAGAAGCAAAAAGATAAGATATAAAATAAGAAGAAAAGAAATAGAAAAGCTGTTTAAAATTCCAAAAACAACTGTCTTTTATTAAAAAATTAAAGTTAATTAAATTAAAACTTTAATGGATACTTTATCATTTTATAATTATCCAATTGAATTTCATGTGTTTAAATTTTATTTGGTACTATAAGATTTAGAAGGTAAATCAGTAAGTAGTTATTATTTCAAGAAATTATCCACTAAAGTGTAAATGGAAATAAATAAATAAATTAACCATAAAATACAGGAATATTAATTAACAATCATATGTTTTTTTTTAATTTCAGAATTCTAATATTCATTTAAGTCATTATAAATTATTCATTATGAAAATATTAATTAATAAGAAATTAATATAAAACAGTATTTTATTAAAAGTAATCAGTACCTGATTTTCTTTAGATGTTAGTTAGAATTATGATTTTTCCCAAATTATTAGCAAGTATTAATAAGCTAATTAATAACTAATATACATATATATATATAAGAATAAACTTGTTAATTTAAAGAATAGTCTTGTTTGATTTTAAGATTCTTATCTAATTAACTGGTAATTCGCCTAATCTCTATTAAATTGAGTATTTATTAAAGTGAAAAGAAAAAACAATAAACATGGTGGTATTAATTGACATGAAAAAAAATTCAATTTGAAAAGAAATAAAGAGTTTAAAAATTTCCCCAAGGAAAATTCAAATTTCAAATTTAGGTTAATAATGTTTAAATTTAATTATTTTTAAAAACCGTTTTGAACCGGTTTAAAATATTTATAACGGTTCGGTTCGCTCTTTTTATAGTTTCTTTATAACGTTTCGGTTACGGTTCAGAAAATTATAACGGTTCATTCCGGTTTGGCGGTTCGGTTCGAAACCCTTGTATTAATGTCACCGGAAGAACTAATCACATTTTTTTTCTAGAATTAAAGATTATTCTCGAATCTTAAATTTGATTCTCTCCTCGACACAACTCCTAGCGAGTTTTTATAATTTTAAACCAATCGAAACCATTAAAAATACGCAGTGGAAGCCTAGATAAGGTTGTTCTATGATTATTATAGTGCACACAAATTGAGCGTTTACGTTTTGCCATAATTTTTTTAATGAAGAAAAACGTAACGCGTTCCTTGTTTAAATCGAGGTTGCCTTTTTATTAATATCGTCGATTCAAAATTTTAAATAAGTTTCTAAAAAAAAGAATTTGTCTTTGAAAATTATATTATCGTCTGCGTTCTTATTTTCTTTAATTTCTAAATATTCCTTTATTAGCATTATAAGTAAAGTTATTTATATTACATTTTTATATAATATTACAAAGCGAAGAATAAAAAAAATTTAACGAAAAAAGTAAACTTATTTTACGTTTTTTTAAAATGGTTGCTAACTCCAAACGGTAATTTTACCAATTTGCATGAGGCCATTTGAAATAAATTATTTGCGCTTGCAACGTAGCATTTGAAACGCTCAATTTATGCGCACTATTGATCAGAACCTTGCTGACTATATTTAGGTTATTGGGGTGTGGTGTATTATCAATTTTGATCAAGGAGTGACCTTATATATCATCAGTAATAGGTAATAATTCTCCCAGGAAAAAAAAAATGGATATTTTAAATTAAATTCCAAATCTCCGTTATTTTGAATCGAAGAATTAATATATTTTTTTTTGTTAAAGGTGATGTTATAGTTGAGTTCGGCTATAAATATTTCTGAAATCCGCATAAACCCGCTTTCACCGCTAGCGCGAATTAGCGGACATAGAATACCCCTATAATACAACATATTTTTTATAATCCGCCACGAAATCGCGCTGACTGTTAATGCGGGGTGTAAAATTTTTTATATTATCTTCGAATAGGTTCGACTCCAGGAATATACCCTCACGCCTTCTTCAACAAGTACGGGGTAGATTCGGTGACCTTCTTGATCCGACCCGGTAAGGGGAAAATCCATTATGATCCCAGTTATAACGGTTACCGAAAAAATTTTTCTGCTAGAACGCTTTGCAGGTTTTGTTTGTTTTTCTTTAATTTAAACCTAAAGGATTTTTTTTTCATCTCTCTAAAATGAAAAAAAATTATATTTGGGAAGTTTTGGAACCCCTTCAGAGCTCAGAATTTTTTTTTTTTGAAAATCGTTTCCGGTTAATTTGGCAGGTTAAGTTTCTAGTTTCGGTAAAGCGATTAAAAACATAAATAACAACTAAATAAAACCAACTAGTTGTAAAATGAATCTGAACATTTTTTTAAATAACTAACATACTGGCTCCATTTTTTTAGAACAGTTTACAGTTTGGGCTATAAATCTTGAGAGAGGAATTCTACTTCCGGTTTCTAGATTTGTCCCAATTCTATCTGTATAATCTATCTTTGGATTTGACTTTTGTTTTTTCCCCAAAATATTTAAATATTTTTCTTATTTTAATTATTTTTTTCCACAAGATTTTTGGAAGGAATGGTTAGGAGCGTCAACAATCTTCAAGAGAAGTTCCACCAATCCTATATGTTTTACCTGCTGACCTCCATTGACAATTTCATTTCTATCGCTAATTATTACCCCGCTTTCGTTTTCCTCGTGATACCGCTCATGCTCGATATATCCTTTTTTTACGAAAAAATGATTCTATTTAATATATATCAGAGAGACAGGCTCGGCCCTAAACCTGACCCTTCTACACGGGCCGGGCCGGGCCCTATATTTTAAAACCAAATATTTAAAATCGCCATGACTTGAAAAATTTTATAAATAAAAACCGGGCCAAGCCAGGTTTATAAATATAAAACCCGGGTCTGGCCGAAATTTTTTTTAGAAAAAACAATCTGGGTCCAGCCGGGCCCTGCAAATGGTACCTCTGCAGGTCTCTGAAATAGATATATATATAGAGATATAACTCCATATGGTCCCATTTTAACGCTTAAATTATAGTTACGAATAAAATAACAAGTGGAAATCATGGGCTATGACAGTTATAATGGTTGTAAAAAAATCGTATGAAAAACCTATCAAGTTTTCGTACGAACGCCGGTTGGACAGAAGTCTTTAGATTTCTATCCGAATTAATTCGAGATCGACAGTTTGTCATAATTTATTTATTTTGAGGTTTATCTATCGATTTGAACTTCGACCTTTACCTTTACTGTATAAATAAATTTTTAAAAAAAGTTTTTTCCTTAACGATTATAATCCGATATGTCGATTTACTGCGCGTATTGTTGGTTAGCCATCACACTTTACGCTAACCAAGGCGTCATCAAATTGGACGAATCAGACATGATCAATCAGCCAACGTTTCATTATGATCCTTCTTCCATTTTAAACGTAACCAATAAAAAAAATAAAAATGAATAATATGAAAAACCTTCAGCGAAATATTAACTCCGATTTTATCTGCGAACAGCGCATAAACATAAAACATATGTTAAGTCGAAAAGTTAGAGGTTCTGGGACAATAGCCCTAACTATCTTAGCCTTTTTTTAGTAAAACTTCTCGTTTATATTTTTTCATCTTTGGCTGCTCTAAGGCCCACGTAGAAGCGTCGACGTCAGGATCCATATTACTAGCGGGGTCCCTATTAAAATTAGGAGTAATTAAATTCAATGCTATTTGTCAGCTGTATAATTTTTTCCCAAAAATGGTGTTTAGTTTTAGAGCGTTCCCTAAACATATACTGTCTTTATTTCTTATTTTACTCTTTCTTTCACTCACCCAATAGATATATACACAGGAGTTTGGATTCTGAATGTTCTATAAAAAAATGGTTTCTAATTCCAGTGCCTAATTTTTTTTTTTAAAGAGGCTCCGTTTCTCAGATTTAACTCCGTTCTAGAGATTCCTATTCTGGGTTTCCAGTTTCTGTTAAAATCAATTCATGTTGGCGTTCCTGTTAATTTTTGAGAGGGGTCCCTGGTTTTAGATTTGTTTGAATTCCTAAGGTTACGGTTCTAATCTCGGACGTAAAAAAACATACTTAAGTAACAAAAATTATAAATTATAAAAAACCATAGTATTTCAAAATAAATTATTCTTATTTTGTTTAAAAAAAAAATTGATAAGTTCCCCGCCATTTTGCTGAGAATAACTATGAATCATTGTGCGAGCTTGGCATTATATCTCTCATTTCCTAGAATCGTTGCGACGATCGGTGGCATGCAGCCGCCAGAAACCAATGTTTTAGCCAAATTATACGGATACTTTTCTATTCCATCCCATCTAATCCCACATGGATCCGATTTACTCACAATATTTCAATGTTTCAGCGCGGTATTTCTAGCAATCGCGACATCAAAAATTATCCGATTTACCGCTAACTCACTATGCGCTAACGATATCACCCGCCAATTTCACCAAGATGCTCCAAAATCGTTTAAAAAGGTCTCGAATATTTCCAATGACGAAAACGACGGAAATAAGGGGGAGGAAACCATCGAAAAGAATGACGATGACGGACGTTTCATCGAAATCAACTACACTGTGACACGATTCATGGGTCAACTGGAATTGGTATTAGGGCTTTTCGCCATATCTCTGATAAATTTTGCTCTGGCTTACTTTGTGGCCCTCTTTTTAGCTCTTTTGTCGTTCGCACCTCACGTGAATCTCCTCGGATTTCGGTTTGATAACTCGAAGTTTGAATGAAACATATTGTATTTTTCTTATTTATTGTAAATGGGAAAATCTATTTTTGAGAATATAGGATATAGATAGAGATGTTAAAAAACATAAAAAAAGTTATAAAAATGTTTTTTTTTAAAAAAACTATTGTTTTTTTAAAATATAGAAAACAGCGGGAAAAAAACGATTCACCCAACTATGAGCTTAAATTCAGTTGATATTTAAATTCGTCCACTTTTTTGATTGGTCCATTTAATGGCTCTAAATTATTGTTTGTATCTTATATATTGTTTAAAAAATCACTTTGAAATTATCCGATATAAAAATGTCGGATAACGTCCATTCCATTTTAACCCGAAATGGACGAAAAATAGATCAAAATTTTACTTCAAAGAGCCCCCCCCCCTACCTCTATATAAAATAACAAATATATTATTTTAGCGAAATTTAGAAAAAATTTAAAAATTAAAATTATCAAACTAAATTTTATTGTATAAAAAATTCAATTTTTTTAACAAACCGAACATTTAACAAAAGGTGATAAATGAAAAATTCCAATATTCGTAGTGTATATTTCGAGATGATTCTGATATTGAAAAATTTACGATAAATATTTATAGATTATTTAATATCACAAGGATCGTAGTACTAATATTTAAAAAAAAAATTAAAAAAATCCAAATAAAACTAAAAATTATTTTTTATTTTCTTCGCAAAAAAATAGGGTGTTTTTTTTTATCCTTATGATGCGAACTATCTGAACATTTGCGTTTCGTTATGTAAAACGCGAACAATGCGTTTCAAATTATATCGTGGAAACTTTTTGCAATTTATAAGCGTTTATTAAAAAAAACGCAAAAGTTTTGAAAACGCAGAAATAGGTCGCACTATTAGGTAAAATATAAGCAAAATTTTATTCTCTATCGCATTAATATATGATAATCTATCCATTTTCCATAAATAATGTTGAGTAGAGCACTCCATTTGCACAGGCCGCCATAAATTATTATCTTAAAAAGGGATTGTTAAAAGAAATTTTTAAAATAAACCAATGGTTATTTGTCAATAAGTTTAATTTAAATAATAAATTGAGCATGTTGTTTTTCTCCGCCATGTTAAAATAATGATTTCGAATTTCGCTATCCAAGAAGAAATATAAAATATACAGCATAAAAACTTCCTTTTTTTTCTAACTAATAAATTTGAATATAATATTTACAGGAATCAGCTATACTAGTATGATATTGTTATGGTAATTTTTTGAGATTTTTTTGTATTTCGGAACATGTTTACACGTTCACATATTTTAAATTATTTTTTTTGTAAGGGTTAAGAAGAAATCATCGCACATTAAAGCTCATTTTTTCAAACCTTTAGTCCGTTTGACTATACTCGTACTAACGTGCCCATTCGTGATATTTTCGATATTGTGTTACGCTCGCCTTTCCTTATCCGCGCCACGCAATGAACACGTCTACCTTCGGGAATTCACGTTTGATAACTTGTATCTACTCTTCCTAACGGACAAATTATACGGGGTTTGGACGTTCAAAATATTTTGCCTATTCTGCCTTCCTATCTGGATGTCGCTTTACTGAAGACTTCACAAAGAAATCTACCGATAAATAAAGAATCGTCATTGATAAATATATCACAATTTTTTTGTATTGAAGCAACTCTTAGTTGGAATATGTTGTTTGGAAAAAAAAATGTTTGATTGTATAATAAGACAGTTTATATTTAATTATCCTATTAAATCTTCATATTTTAATTATTACATAAAAAAAACTCGATATATAAATATTGTAAAAATTTTGTAAAATTTGTTTATATATATTTTTTGAAACATTCCAAAATTAAAGATAAAAAGTAGTCTTGTTAACCTCTGAAAAGTAACTGTTTATAGTTACACATTATATCAAAAGTAACTTGTAACGGATTACAGTTATATCCCAGAAGTAACTATTTACATTGCACGTTACTTTCTTATTTTTTTATATAACTCAGCATATGATGTTATCTAGTTATTTTAAAGATATTTTAGATTTGCAAATTTTAATTAAAGGAATTTAAAATTGCATTGAATAAATATTTTTTTTTTTACAATAATCTAACCTAAACGAACATTTTAGAGGGGGGGGGGGGTTAATATAGTAATTCTAAATTTGGGAAATCACATAATTCACATAGAAATAATGTAAATAATGTAGAAGTCATATTATAATTGCATTATAATACATATATAGGTAAATATATAATGATTATTTATGTATGTATTATGTTGAGTAAAGTTTAACTGTCTAATATTATAGAATGTAGAAACATCTATTATAATATTTTATATCATGCCTTATTAACTGGGATTATGCATGTTACCACTTTCCTCATAAATATCAATAACGACACACGTATACTCAAGCTGAAACAAAATAGATAAATAAATTCAAAACATTGGATAACTTTATTTCTACTCCAATTGCTGCACCACCAGTTTGCACTCACTTTCTCTTATCCATAGTATATGGGATAATTACGATTACATCATCTGGTAAGTGAGATTCTAAGGAAAAGGATATATAAATTAAAATTAAAAAGTAACGATTAATTTTAAAGACCCAATCACCAATCAATCAATAGTTTTATCTTGTTTGTTTTTACCCACATGTTTATACATTATTGTCACATTGAACAAATTCAAAATGTTCATTTAACTTTACTAATTTTAATTTCTAATATATCTAATGTGGTCCATCCATACTACTTCTGCTCATATTCGGATTGGGATTCAGTGGAAGATCCCTAAAAATTCATTAAATAATTTAATAATAAATGGATTTTTATCAACTCATATAAAGAATGTAAGATAAATTTAGCTCTTCTATTTTGCTGAAAAATATCCGATCATTGATCGGCAAATTATAATGAATATCGTTGATATTCTAAAACAAAATATGCGCGATTGATTAAGTTATAGATTTCCAATAATTGATTTTCTGGTATTAGTATCATTATTATTTATACATTTTATTGATTATAATTTCAAATTTAAATATCTTAGTTACCCTAAGGTGTTTAGTCCAGCGAAAAACCTATGCCTACCTCCCTAAAAAATTTTCGCAGCCTTCGCCAGCTATATTCCCACATTATTAATTTCATCTTTTTAATTATATTGATACCTCCCTTCATAAATTTTTAAAAATTATTTAAATTATTTTAGCTCTACAAACCAACTATGAAAATATTGTGAATAATATGAAAGAGTTATTTTTTAGATCATGAATATAGTCATTTTGTTTGGCATGAAATATGAGTCTTTCTGAGAATGTCTAACCCTTATATAAAAAAAGCAGAAAGTTTTATTTGGCAAGTATCTATGATAATAATTTGCTATATATACATTTGGTCGGTGATCAGCAATATCACTGTATTATAATAGGTCTATAATAAAAGTATTAATTTTTACAGCAATATATTTTGGCCTTATTTCATGTAAAAATTTAATAGATTACCCCCTTAAAAAATTTATCCTACTCACCTTCCTTTAAGGCGTATACCCCCTTATTCTCCAAAAAAAATGGACACAAACTGTACCTACCACACCCCTCCCTCCACCTGTTTTTTATAACCGAACTATTACGTTATAAACACATGGAAATTGTAAGATTAAAATGAAATGTTTTATTCTGAAACAAAGTTTATGAAAAGTAATAAACATTCATTTAATATTTAAGCGAAAGGCCATATTGGGAAAGAGTTAAGATAAGAATGTTATTTATTATTTTCTTTCATGCATCTTCATCGGTAGATCATGCTATCATCTTTCTTTCTTTCTTTCTTTCTTTCTTTCTTTCTTTCTTTCTTTCTTTCTTTCTTTCTTTCTTTCTTTCTTTCTTTCTTTCTTTCTTTCTTTCTTTCTTTCTTTCTTTCTTTCTTTCTTTCTTTCTTTCTTTCTTTCTTTCTTTCTTTCTTTCTTTCTTTCTTTCTTTCTTTCTTTCTTTCTTTCTTTCTTTCTTTCTTTCTTTCTTTCTTTCTTTCTTTCTTTCTTTCTTTCCTTCATTCCTTCTTTCTTTCTTTCTTTCTTTCCTTCATTCCTTCTTTCCTTCCTTCCTTTCTTTCTTTCTTTCTTTCTTTCTTTCTTTCTTACGTTTTTCGGAAATTAAGTCTATTCAAGAAAATCATCATCTAATATATTTATATATGTAAAAATAAAATATTTTTGACAAAATTTGTTTCGAATAAATTATTCATTTTTTTTTTAGTGATTAAGCAAAAAAAAAAAAATTAAAAAAAAAAAAAATAACAAATAATTATTCAAGGTAAAATTTAGAAGGATCCATCTCCAATGATATAAAAAGTAGGATGGAAATCGACGCGTGACCTATCGCTAAAATTTTTAAAGAGAAACACCAACATGGCCAATTTTATTTTTTAACGTCATACAAGGTAATCGGTGTTTAAAATGTATGCACATTAGATCCGCAAAAGTAGGTCCGACCCGTACCATCGGGTTCGGGCCGGGCTTAATATTTTTTTAAAAAAATCGGGCCGGGTCGGGTCGGGCCTTGGAAGTTTTTTTAAAAATATATCTTAAATTCATTCAATTTTATAATTTATTTTTTTTTTAATGTAAAATAAAAAGATTTGATTTTATTTATAGAAACTAGACGTCATTTAACATATGTCTTTTATTTTGAGTAATTTATAAATATTAATTTCTATATTTATATAAATTCGGGCCAGACGATGTCGGTGAATTTTTTTAAATAAAATTTTGGGTTCGGGCCTGGTCGGCAAAAATTTTTTAAAAAAGATTTCGGGGGCCGGGTTGGGCCGGGTTGGGCCGGGTTGGGCCGGGTTGGGCCGGGTTGGGCCGGGTTGGGCCGGGTTTAACAGATCACTAACGCGCACCACCTTTTACTAAGTGTTAAAATTCAATTTTACTGTGCTTGATTTGATAGTGCCAATCAAAAGATCTATTTCTATGGAAGATCTTGTAGTATGTTTTGTTAAGTGCTATTCTAAGGTAAAACCTACTATTTACTATTTAATTTTAGAAGTGAAAATTTGGTATTCAATGTATTATCATCTACTATATTAAAGTGGGTGTTGCCGTTAAATCATACGCGTTCATTGAAAATTAAATAAAATTCTGCAAGGCTATAAAATACTAAAAAAATGTGATTAATTATATTTCAAGTAAACATTTTTATAGATTCTTAGGGTTTTGGTTTTTTTTTATAACACACAAATCTCAGTTTGATTGCTTGTGGATTTAGAAATGGGGAGGGGGGGGGGAGGGTCAAGGGACTATCATTTATTTTATTTTTATCGCGTTCAATTTGGGTAGTTGCTAACATTATAAAATCTTTAATGGTAGTCTAGCAGTGTATATATTAAATTATTCATATTTTTTTATTTAATTTTTATATTATACTTATCATTATTTCTTCATCTAATATAATATGTAATACATTCAAATTTTTGGAATAATAAAATATTAATCTAATTTATAAGTATTTTTTTAAAAAAAAGAAGATTATTCTATTATGCAACCTAAAATATTACACAAGTATTAATAACATTAAAAAGTACATATATTTACCCCCAAATTTTTTTTTTTGAATACTTAACATAATATTTAAGTATTTTTATATAAAAAAAATATCATTACTATATATATATATACAAGATTAAAATATCATTTTTATTATAAAAACTATCTTTTACAAATTTTAAAAAATATATGAAAATTATGAAGAGGACATTTTCTTATATTACTATAACCTTGATAGTAATTACCTAGAATTTTAGTTTTATTTCTAATATATTAATTATAGTTCTATGTTATCTTAAAATAAAATCAATTTTAATAATATAGTTTACTTACTTAAGCGCCACGGAAGCGTTGCCTCGTCGATTTATCAAAAGACAAGATTTTGGGATCCAAGATAATCTGAATACGGCGGGAGATTCCTTTTTATCCAACCAGCAATATGACGATGATCTCTCCTCTCAAGGCATAAATCCGGTTTTCGATTTTAGTTATGGTAATGGTGACCTTTCCCAGGCTCTAGCACCCACTAATGCAGATGAGGGTCTCTTATCTAATCCCGATTCTTCAGCTGATTCAATATTGTCCTTCCCATCAGCTCCAATTGTACATTTTGACGATGGAGGGGTATCGCAAAATTCTTATGATAGTTCATATTAATGATAGGGTTATATATATATATAAAAATTATAATGGTGTATTACGTATTTTTTTTTTTTGTTTATACTCGCTCATTAAATAAAAATTGTTATATTATAGCAAATTGTTAATAAAAAGTTTTTTAAAAAAAGGAAGGTAAAATTGTCGTTTTTATGAAATATGTCAATCATAATAGGGACGCGCCCATGATTGGCGAAGTGATAGCGCTTGACCTCACTGGCATAAGTAGCAATAAATGTATTTTAATCGTAATTGTCAAATCTATAATTTAAAGAAAAATACTTGTAATTGGAATTATATATTTAAGAACAAAAATTATCCAAGGATATGTTTTGCACATTAATTTGAAAGTTATAAGACGACAATCCCTGGTAATTTATGAGGTTTCAGCTTTAGTTTCGGGTGATGATTTGTCCGTGCCCCTACAAAAATGAATAATAGGAAAAAAATTAGCTATTATTAAGATTAATTT